GCAAGAATAAATTAGATATCTAGGTTGAAAGTGAAAATAACTAAAAGCATATTAAATTAGGTGAGCAATCGTCTAAGAATTTGATATTACCACTATTACAAAGAGAGGTCCAAATAGAAAAAAAAACAGCTCAGAATCTAAACCAAATCTAATTAAGAATTCATCAATTCAAATATATATTTATATTTATATCAACTTCATTTAGCATGATATGAGCATTAAGGATAAGACAAAACAGCGATCACATACTCAAGAAGAGTGAAATTTTTGCCATATGTTTCTAATTGACAAGAAGATAATTCGAAAGTAGAGTTAGTGCTGTAATCCTTAGTCCTTGAAAATGGAGAAGTGGACAAACTCAAGGAGGCGATCGTTTGGATCACAGCTAGTCGTTCAATAATCAGAGGAGGAAGTGAGCCATTTTGTAGGCCAGGGAGACTACCAATACAGATGGTAGAATCAGTGAGATTTTGGTGGGTAGAAACCAGAGCTTGAGCAATTGTGGAACAACGAGCAGCTATCCGGTCTGTGACGAAGATTTCAGGGTTCATATGGAAAGCGTCCACGATAGCCAAAACATCCTGAGAGGTAATAGGAGAATGGACTCAGATGTTGATGAACAATTAAAAGTGATACTTTAAGATATAATATGCTTTGATCAGACGGTGAGGAATGTAACGACTAGAACATAGAAATTGAAGGCAAATTAGTGCACATATGGTTGAGTTACGGCAGCGATTGTTAGGCAAAAAATATTCGTAAGATAAAATTGAATATTTTTGAAGATGCTTACTTCATAAAGGGCCGAATCACAAAGTGAATTAATCAAATGTACAGGTGAAACCTGCATCTGCTGATGAACTGCAGAAGAGTTCATTCTAAGACGAAGCTGGGATCTAGCAAAAACATATTCACGATACACATCGGCTAGTGTCAAAACAAGTCTGTCTCGAACATTAGTCTTGTCATAAATAACCTGATTGTCTTGAAGACGTCTTGATCCAACGTGCACTCTGTCAGCAAAACGCTTGGCAAGGTGTATTCCTGCAGAAAATTCTTTATGTGTATCACTAGTAGAATCAGAAGAGTCAGAAATAGAAGCAAAGGAAGACAATCTATGTGGTGCACCTGCAGATTCTTTACAACAATTAACAGAGGGTCTATTATAGCAGACATCATCACTAAAGACCCAATGCTCACTGCAAACAGAAGCATTTTCGTCATCAGAATTGTCAAGAGCCTCATCATTATCACCATTGTTGACACTTTCCTGATCCATGTGGACGTTTTCGTAAGATGGATCATGGAAAGGGGAAGAGTCATAGCATTCCTTGACAATGTTAATTAAGAATTGATAATGAAGATGAGTATAGGAAAAAATACACTGATTCAAGAGCACAATAAAAGTAATC